CAAAGAAATCTGGGATCACCGTGATCCAAATGAGGCTAATGAGCTGATTCCCACTCGAATCCAAACTGGATTGTGAGTTTGTATTGACTACCGAAAACTCAACTTAGCCACTTGGAAAGATCACTTTCTTCTTCCTTTCATTGACCAAATATTAGAGCGTTTAGCAGGACACGAGTCCTACTGTTTCCTGGATGGATATTCAGGTTACAATCAAATCCCTATCGCTCCCGAAGTTCAGGAGAAAAACACCTTCACTTGCCCGTATGGAACATTCGCATACCGATGCATGCCCTTTGGACTGTGTAACGCACCAGCCATATTCCAACGTTGCATGATCAGTATTTTTTCTGACATGATAGAGAGATTTCTCAAAATTTTCATGGATGACTTTTTTATTTTTGGTGACACATTTTCCTAATGTTTGCATCATCTTAAACTGGTCCTAGAACGGTGTAGGGAGAAAAATCTAACTCTCAATTAGGAGAAATGTCATTTCATGGTCAAACAAGGCATTGTCTTAGGACATGTAGTTTCCAATAGGGGAATTGAAGTGGACAAAGCTAAGGTAGATCTCATTTCCAATCTCCCTCCTCCCAAAACTATCAAAGATGTCAGATCATTTCTTGGCCATGCTGGTTTTTACCGACGTTTCATCAAGGATTTCAGTAAAATTGCTAGACCCTTGACCAATCTCTTAGCCAAGGATACATCATTTGTCTTCTCTCCCGACTGCCTCAAAGCTTTTGAATATCTAAAAAAGGAGCTAACCACAACTCCAATCATTCAAGCACCGGACTGGACCTTACCCTTTGAACTGATGTGTGATGCATCTGATTCTGCGATTGGAGTTGTTTTAGGACAACGGTTTGATGGAAAACCGCATGTGATCTACTACGCCAGTAGGACTCTGAATGATGCCCAGCAAAACTACTCTGTCACAGAGAAAGAGTTTTTAGCTGTAGTCTTTGCCTTAGAAAAATTCAGGTCCTACCTCATCGGTTCCTTAACCAAAGTTTTCACTGATCATGCCGCACTAAAGTATCTTTTGACCAAAAAGGATGCTAAAGCACGGCTCATTAGATGGATTCTCCTTCTTCAAGAGTTTGACATTCAAATTCTTGACAGAAGGGGAACAGAGAACCCCGTAGCAGATCACCTCTCTCAACTCCCAAATGCACCAACATCAACCGTCCCAATCAATAAACATTTTTCAGATGAACAACTCCTAGAAATCCAATCTGTTCCATGGTTCGCCGACATTGTGAACTACATAGTCATGAACCAGATCCCTTCTCATTGGTCCAAACAGGATAGATCCCGTTTTCTCTCCCAAGTAAAATACTTTTACTGGGATGATCCATATCTATTCAAATACTATCCTGATCAGATCTTTAGGAGGTGTGTTCCCACTGAAGAAACTAGGAGTGTTCTATCCTTTTGTCATGAGCAAGCATGTAGGGGCCACTTTGATCCAAGAAAAACAGCTAAAAAAATTCTCCAATCTGGGCTATACTGGCCAACTCTTTTTAAGGATTCATATGAGTTTTGCAAAACTTGTAACCACTGTCAGCTTTTAGGGAAGGTCACTAGGAGAAATATGATGCCTTTATAACCCATCTTATCTGTTGAACTTTTTGATTTGTGGGGTATCGATTTCATGGGACCATTTCCAAATTCCTTTGGAAATGTTTACATTCTAGTAGCCGTTGAATACATGTCAAAATGGGTTGAGGCGGTAGCTTGAAAAACTAATAACAACAAGGTCGTTATTAAGTTTTTAAAAGAGAATATTTTTGCACGGTTTGGAGTACCCCGAGCGATCATCAGTGACAACGGTACACATTTCTGTAACCGTTCTTTTGAGGCTTTGATGAGGAAATATTCAATCACACACAAATTGTCAATTCCTTATCACCCCTAAACCAGTGGACAAGTAGAGGTCACAAACAGACAGATCAAATAAATCTTAAAAAAAACAGTTAATCATAACAGAAAAGATTGGTCTATAAAATTATGTGATGCTCTGTGGGCATATAGAACAGCTTTCAAGGCCAATTTAGGGATGTCACCAAACAGATTAGTGTTTGAGAACGCTTTCCACCTACCAGTGGAGTTGGAGCATCGAGCAATGTTGACGATAAAACAATTGAATTTTGACTCAGACTCGGCAGGTAAGAACAGATTGCTCCAAATAAATGAGTTGGAAGAAATTCGAAATGATGCATACATAAACTCAAAAATTTACAAAGAGAAAACCAAGATTTTTCATGACAAATCAATTTTACAAAAAATTTCTCTCCAAGACAGAAAGTTTTATTGTACAATTTAAAATTACATATTTTTCCTAGAAAATTGAGATCAAGATGGACAGGTCCATTTTTTATGAAACAAGTTTTTTTTCCGCATGGGGCTGTCGAGATAGAAAATCCTAAAAATGGTAACATTTTTAAAATAAATGATCAACGTCTGAAACCATTTTTAGAATTTTCTACGCTCGAAGAGGAAGAGGTGTTGATTCTTCATGAACCTCATTATCTATAAAAAATACTAATAATAAATAAATAAAATAAAATAAAATAAAATAATTACAATTTTTTCTCTTATACCGGTTTAGTCTTTCACCCATTGAAAAATATACTAGAATCCAAATCTGGAGACTTTTATCCCGAAGCCTAAGTAGGGATAAGTCTGTGCCTAACACGTATTGCCGGATAGTCTATTCCCGTGAAAAAGACGAAGTCTACGTATTCAATATCATAGCACTAAGAGAGTTAACTCTCTTAGCATAACGTTTCATGCGGAACGGACTTAAACAAATCGCATGCTAGCCCAACTCAAACGGTAGTCGGTAAAATCTCATCAAACCCGTTAATGGCTGAGAGTTTGCCAAAAATCCTATGAGAACCCCGCAAGGGATGAGTAAGTCTATGTATTCAAAAATCATAGCGCTAAGTCTAAAAGAATTTATTCTTTTAGCATAACGTCACATGCAGAATGGATTTAAAATTCACTGATGTTTACTATAAATAAGGGTAGAGAGTGAGGGGTTAGAGGTGTGAAAATTTTTGTAACTCCTTTTGGAGAGGAGGGCTACTCTTAATTGAGAAGGCCTTCCAAATTTGTAACATTTTGTTACAATTAATAAAATAATTTTTTTACCACTTTAAATTTTTCTATTCTTCTCTTTGTTGGATGATGAAGATGAAGATGAAGATGGAGATTAATTTGAAGGTTTGTTTTTCTTATTTCTTTTTTATTGCTTATTAGTTTAGATTTATTTTTATGCTTGTAATTAGATTTTATTTTCTTGTTTAAATAGCCAAGAGGCTAGAACCCTCTTGCCTTAGATTTATTTCATCCTTATAGATTAGATTTATTTCATGCTTATAGAGTAGAGAACCCTCTAGGGAATCACTTTTTTCTAAGAAGTGGATTCAATTCTAGATTACCCATATCTTTAATTGAATCCGCTATCTTTACATTCTTGATTTTTATTTGTTCTTGATTTTTCCTTCTTGCCTTGTTGATCACATTTATATTATCACTTCCACTCTCAAATATATTCATTTACACAATCATTTTCATTCTCTCCATCTCTTCACAATCACATTCACTCATCACTCCTATTTGTCACGCACACAACATAAGAACCGATTTCATATTTTCTCCTACAAAACACCTTCCTCGTGGATCGATATCTTTATACTATAACTTGACACGGTTGTGCACTTGCAACATTTTTGCTACATGTTTATGCCGCATCAAGTTTTTGACGTCGTTGCCGGGGAAGGTGCTTAAGTAGGTTTTAATTATTTTGGTTCTTTAACTTGTGTGTTTATTGTGAAGGAAACGCTTGGAGCTTGAAGATCACGGATTGGAGAACTAGGATTTGAAGATTTGCTTTCGGGTAAGTCTTCTTTCTAGTGTTTTTAATTCCATCCTTTTTAGTTAGCTTCACAATTAGAGACAATTAGGATTAAAAAAAAAGATTTTATTTTTGTTGACCATAATAAAATTCATCTTTCACTTTGACATTTACTAACAAGATAATAAATTCAAATAATTCTCCCTTCTCATTTGTTTGATTGTTAACCCTAATTAATAAAAAAAAGATTTTTTCTTTTTCATCCTTTTTAGTTGCTTTTAATTCATAGGGTTGCATTTCATATTGTTAGTAGGAATTCACCAAGTGATTTGAGCATCTTGATTTGGCACACACTTAAAAATATTTTTAAGGGTAAAACCCCATAATCAAGATAAGGTGAGGGATTTCATCACCCTTTCCTTAGCCCAAAAATCACTTATTCCACACTACACCACCCAAGCCTAATAAAACTCATTAGACGTTGGCCTTAAGGATTCGAGCTCAATAAGGAACAAAGAATCCTTAAGTGAACCGGTTTAAGTTTTCTTGGATTAGTTGGTGTCTAAGGCAAGGTTTAAGGGTTGCATAAAGCGCTCCGTAAGAAACGAGGTACTTAATTGGTCTCTTAATTATAGAGTCAATACCAAAGAACCCCTTAATTATAGAGTCCAATTTGGATTACAATCTACTTGGCTTATAGTCCACAAAGGAATTATAAGCTGATGAATAATAAGCTAAAGTGTTTGGTATATCCAGTGGATTATATGTCATTCTCAATAATAAAATGTTTGGTAAGTTAGTGGCTTATAATCCACGTTTATTGTCAAAATGACCAAAAATAATTTTGAAGATAGAGAACTAGGATTTAAGAATTTTCTTAAATGCTAAGAGATAAAAATAATCTTTTACTTGGTCAAACTACGTTGTTTATGAGCCATCTTGGTCGGTGGCCAAACATTCTATTCTATAAATTATAGATAGCGGACTTGACATCGGAACAATTTTGGGCTACAGTCTAGCCTCACTACTTTTCGCCTAGCTCAAACTTAACACCACTCCGACCATAAAATTAAAGATTCGTAACGGCCCGCGGCCTGTCGAAATGCTACGAGTATCAAAACCAAGATTCGAACCCTCGCATTCGGTGACCTTACCGTCCTCGAACCAAATTCAAAATCCCGCTTATCTATTCTCCCCCTCTCTCTTTATTTAAAAAAAAGAAAAAGAAAAAGAAAAAGAAAGGTAATGGAGAAAATCTCAGTCGCCGTGAGATTTCGGCCATCGTCAGGCCAAGAGGCCGCCGAAGATCGGCAATGGAGGATCGAGGACAACCGGATCTCCCTCCACAGACCCCTCGGGACTCCTATCTCCGGCGTCTCCTTCGCCTTCGGTACTTCTTTCAACTCTTTCGCCCGAAAACCTAACCCTAGTCCCATTATCAAAAGTTCATTTTTTGATTTGTTTCTTAGATCACGTATTCGATCAGACGACGGGAAATGCTGAGGTATATGATCGACTCTCAAAGCCTATCATCCAGGCTGCTGTTGGTGGATTCAACGGTGAGAATGGGAATTTCCCCCGATTATTTATGATAAAAGGGATCAGATTTGTTATTTGTATTCCCGTTTAGCCCTAGGTTCTGAAATTAGTAAGTTTAAAATTTACGGTAATTTTTTTTTTCTTTTTGGTTGCTGAAATCTTAGTAAAGTTTGGAAGAGAAATTACGGATTTCTCTCTCAAAGTTAGTAAAACTAGTCAATATCTCAATTTATAACTTTTTACTATAGTAATGGTTGAAAATTTCAAAATCTAGCAACTTGTTGTGCTCTGATACCACTTGCTATGCTCTGATATCACTTGTTGTGCTTTGAGGAACCAAAAAAAACACCGAGAGAGAAGGCCAAAAAATCCAAAATAACGGCACGAACACAAACAAACGAATTTTACATGGTTCAGCAAGTTGTCTACGTCCACGGGGCAAGAAGGGGATGAGTTTTCACTAATAGAGAAGTAGAGTACAAATAGCTATTACAAATCCAAAAACTAATCTCTCACACAAAGCTCTCAATCTCTCAAACAAAACCCTAACCAATAGCTCCAGAAAAGGCTTTTTTCTATGCTCCAAATATCCCCAATACTGCTCTCCCCAAAACCCTAAATCGTGTTTGTTATTTATACCAAACTCAAATCTCAAACAGACCAGGAAACCCAAACCAGGCCCAAAATCCCGATCCGGTCGACCGACATATAGCCCCGGTCGACCGGCCAGAAACACGAAATCTCAACAAAATCAGTTACAGGGTTCTGGTCGACTGACAATGTGGTCCGGTTGACCGGACAGGGTTCGCGGTCGACCGACCTATCCTCGCGGTCGTCCGAACAAAAGACCAAAAGAATACCCTGTAGTGTGCATGTTTGTTTCCGGTCGACCGGACTTGCTCCGCGGTCGACCGAATTGCATCCAAAATCCTTCCTGCTTCGTTTTTCCTGAACTTCTCAACTATTTTTGCCGTTTCTACACAACTGATATTAGATAAAATTTTGCTAGTGAATTATGATGCAAGTCTTGGAGTATTTAAAATAGAACTTGGTGATATTACGACGAAAGCCTTAGCCTTAGTTAGGAGAATTGTTCGGCCTGAAGTTTGATGTATTTCTTTTAGGAACTGCATTTGCTTATGGCCAGACCAGCAGTGGCAAAACCTTCACGATGAATGGTTCTGAAGATGACCCCGGTATCATTCACCTTGCTGTCAGAGACATTTTTCATTCTGCTGAAAGGGTATTCACACTCATTGAGGATCTCCTATTCTATGCATATAACTATTATACTCTCACCAGAAATATATATGTTCTTATTTGATTTTCGATGCTTTAACAGATTGTGGACCGCGAATTCTTGATTAGAGTCTCCTACATGGAGATTTATAACGAAGAGATTAACGATCTCCTATCATTGGGAAACCAGAAGCTTCCCATCCATGAGAGCTTAGATGTAAGGTGTAAATGAACCTACTGACAATTTTCTTTTAGAGTACTTTTAAGGAGTTTTTCCTTTATTTATCTTTGTAGCGAGGCATTTATGTGGCGGGCCTTCGAGAGGAGATTGTGAATAGCGCTGAGCAGGTGCTTGAACTAATTAAACTTGGCGAAGGTGGGATTTCACATTAATATGAATGCACTTTGCTATGTGCTTATTAAGATTAATAATATAAGCAAAATACTATCTTTTTTTTTGTAGCCAATCGACATTTTGGAGAAACAAACATGAATGCTCGTAGCAGTAGATCACATACAATTTTTAGGATGGTAAACACATTGCAGCCCTATGCTGTTGCATTTGCTATTGGTTTTTCCTATTTATATAACTTGGAATCATGCTTTAGGTTATCGAAAGTAGTGCAAAGGATCCAACATTTTCTGGTGATGTTTCTGATGCGGATGCTATCCGGGTTTCCGTTCTGGTTTGTGCCTTCTTATTTCACCTTGAAATTAAATTATACTGTTTTTTAAAATTTACATTTTATAACATAAGTTTGTTTTCTTGATGTAGAATTTGGTGGATTTAGCGGGGTCAGAAAGAATTGCAAAGACTGGGGCTGGTGGAGTACGTCTGAAGGAAGGAAAGCACATAAATAAAAGCTTAATGATTCTTGGGAATGTGATCAATAAGCTGAGTGAAAATGGAAAACAAAGGTATCTTGGGAACCTATTACTACTTTGTGTTTACTCCCTTTCTTTTTAATCATACAATTTTTAACCTATTAAGACTTTTAGTAGGAGATCTTATTCATCTACTAATTAAAAAAAAAATCATTGTTTACCTTGTCCCTTTTACCTTTCATGCTGGTTGTTGAGGATCTGCGTTGTCGTTTAGCTCAGAGGTCTGCTGAAATCAGTCATGTTCTTCTCTCACAGTGCACCACCAAGAACACAAAGGGAGAGTTCACTGATCTCCTCCAAAGTGCACCACCAAGAACACAAAGGGAGAGTTCACTGATCTCCTCCAACCGTCACTCACAAAAGGGGATCGCACAAAGGGGTTGAGAGCACAAAGCCCACAGGAGCACAAAACTCACAGAAAGAGAGAGATCACACAAATCAGAGAAGAGCTCAAGCTCAGATCTTCACCTCACTATCTCTTTTTCCTCTTCATCCCTCTACAGAGCTACTGCCAACCCATTATCCATATATAGGGAAGGGGGCAGCCGACACGGGAGAGGAGCTAGGGAAGAAAACGAAGGAGGAAGCCGACCTACGGATGGGAGCTCACAAGTGGCGGCCATCAGATCACGAAGACTGGGAGGTGAGAACCATCGGGTAGGAGAAGAAAATAGAGGGGCTAGGGCACATCAGATAAAGGCTAGGGCACATCAAATAAACAAAAGGGAAATGAGCCTTTTGGTAACGGGCCAGAAGCTTTGGGCCAACAAATAGCAACAATCTTCACCTTTCGCCCAAGGTAGTGCACAGAGAAAAAACACGGAACTGCAGGACTCATCATCGCCAAATTATTACCTGTATAATCACAAATAAGATACAAGCAATGGAAGAGAATACACTAAGTAAACTCAGATCACAAAGATCGGGGTAAAATCACCAAGAAGAGAATACACTAAGTAAACTCAGATCACAAAGATCGGGGTAAAATCACCAAGCATACCAAGTCCACAAAGGACCGAACTCAAGATCGGGGTAAAATCACCAAGCATACCAAGTCCACAAAGGACCGAACTCTACCAAACGGTCATCGAGGTCAAAGGGGAAAAAATCACAAAGCTAATAACAAGCACAAAGCAAGTTAATAGGCCACAAAGGCAACACACAAAGCAAAAGAAAATTACCCAAAATCAAAATTCAAGATTCTTTGACACGAGATAAATTTTTCAACAGGCAAATACTTAGTACCCATGTCAGCAAGATTAAATTCTGAGGGAATTTTCTCTAACTTGACAATACCCTTTTTAATTATATCCCGAATGTAATGAAATCTAACATCAATATGTTTAGTTCTATCATGAAAAACAGGATTTTTACAAAGTTGAATAGCAGATTGACTATCAGAAAATACAACCACATTTTTATCAAGAAAACCAATTTCAGATATAAGGCCCCTAAGCCAAATAGCTTCTTTAAAAGCTTCAGTGGCAGCAACATACTCAGATTCAGTAGTAGATAAAGCAACAATGGGTTGTAATTGGGATTTCCAGCTTATGCAAGAGCCACACAAAGTAAACACATAGGAAGTGGTAGATTTTCTATTATCTCTATCATTGGCATAATTGGAATCTACATAGCCAGCAAGTTTAACACCTTCAGAACACTTAGAAAAGGTTAATCCTATATCCACAGAGGATTTTAAATATCTTAAAAGCCACTTCAAGGCATTCCAATGAGGCATACCAGAGTTTGACATATATCTACTCAAACAACTAACCGCATATGCAATGTCAGGCCTAGTACTAACCATGAGATACATGACAGATCCTATAGCATTCGAATATGGCACATTCTTCATATCATTTATTTTAGTTTCAGTATTGGGAGATTGATTCTTACTTAACACAAAATGAGAAGCAAGAGGCACATTCACAGATTTGGCATTAGACATAGCAAATTTACTCAAAATTTTTTCAACATATGAACTTTGGTTTAAAATTAGAGTAGATTTGTTTTTGTCCCTAATAATATTCATGCCTAGGATTCTTTTAGCATCACCTAAGTCTTTCATGTCAAAATTTTCACAAAGACATTTTTGAACATGCTCAATAGACTTCAAACAAGGACTAACAATAGAACTAATAATCAACATGTCATCCACATAAATTAAAAGAAATACAGGCACAAAGTCTATATTCTTATAATACAGGCAATGATCAGCAGAACTCCTTTTAAACTTTAAAGATTACATGCATTTATCAAATCTAATATTCCATTGCCTAGGTGATTGTTTTAAACCATACAAAACTTTTTTTAACAAACACACATGATCAGGCAATTTAGGGTCCACAAAACCCTCAGGTTGGTGCCTATAAATATTTTTATCAAGATCACCATGCAAGAAAGCAGTAGTTACATCCATTTGTTTTAATTCCCAATTAAAATGAGCAACTAAAGCAAGCATAATTCTAACAGTAGTGAATTTGACAACATGAGCAAAAATTTCAGCATAATCAATTTCCTCCTTTTGAGTAAATCCCTTAGCTACTAACCTAGTCTTAAACCTAACACTTTCAGATTCTTGTTTTACCTTAAACAGCCACTTACAGTCCACTACAGAACAACTAACAGGTTTAGGAACAAGTTTCCATGTTTGGTTAATTTTTAGGGATTCCATCCCACTCTTCATAGCACTAATCAATTCTTCAGAATATTTTGACCTTAATGCTTCTTTATAAGTCTTAGGTTCATTGCACTCAAGGGATTCAAACACATTAAAGGCAAACTCAGACATATTACAATCAATCAAATTGCAATCTCTATATCTTTCAGGTTTCCTAATGGTTCTTTTATTTCTATCCCTAGTCAGTTGATAATCATTCTAATCATGCATGTTATCTATTTCCTGCATTTCATGCTCCACCTCATTTGGAATAATCTCATCTTGATTTTTAATAATTATATCATTCAATTTTTCTTCAAGGGGTGATTTAGGTTGATTAATAATAGGCATTTGCTCCACCTCATTTGGAGCATCATTTTCAGGAATAGGGACAGGTAAAGGTAAACAAGGAAATTCATTTTTATTAAAAATAACATCTCTACTTATTACTACCTTAAACCCCAGTTCACTCTTATTCCAAAGCCTATAACCTTTTACCCCTTCAGGATATCCTAAGAAAACACATTTCTTAGATCTAGGTTCTAACTTATCAATCTTTTGATGCACATAGCCAGCACTCCCGAAAATTATCAAATTATTTAAATCAAGAGGTTTGCCTGTGAACACAAATTCAGGGCATTTCCCTCCTAAGGGAACAGAATGAGACCTGTTAATCAAATAGGCCGCAGTACAAACAGCTTCTCCCAAGAACTTCTTGGAGAGCCCAGATGTGGCCAACATAGCCCTCACCCTCTCTAAGAGAGTTCTATTCATCCTTTCAGCAATCCCATTCTGCTGGGGTGTGTAGGGAACAGATTTATGCCGTTTAATACGGGAACAGATTTATGCCTTTTAATACCCCAAGTAGTACACAAATCATTCAATTGTTTGTTACAAAACTCAAGACCATTGTCTGTCCTAAGAGTTTTAATTTTTTTTCCCGTTTGGTTGTCAATCATAATTTTCCAGTTTTTAAATTTATCAAAAACTTCAGATTTTTGTTTCATGAGTAAAACCCAAACTTTCCTAGAATAATCATCAATTATGGAAAGAAAATATTGGTTCCCTCCATGCGTAGGCACACTAGAGGGACCCCACACATCAGCATGCAAATATTCAAGTACACTAGTGCACTTAGACTGATTAGGAAAAAAAGAAGTAGGAAAAGTAACCATATGTTGTTTTCCTAGCACACAAGATTCACAGAAATCATCAATTATGAAAAGAAAATATTGGTTCCCTCCATGCGTAGGCACACTAGAGGGACCCCACACATCAGCATGCAAATATTCAAGTACACTAGTGCACTTAGACTGATTAGGAAAAGAAGTAGGAAACGTAACCCTATGTTGTTTTCCTAGCACACAAGATTCACAGAAAGGGATAGGGGGTATTTTATCACTACCAAAGTGACCTCCTTTATGCAAAATTTCTAATCCTTTATTACTCATGTGACCTAATCTATTATGCCATAAAACAGATTTATCACCTATCACAGAGTTAACAGAATCAAGCACAGGTTCAGCATGACAAATATACAAATTATTTTGTTTTTCAGCAGTAAAAACAACAAGAGACCCTTTCAGAATTTTCATAACCCCTTTACCCCATTTTCCCTCCAAACCATCATTTTCTAGAGATGCACAAGAAATCAAGTTATAACGTAAATCAGGAACATGCCTAACTGAAGAAAAACAGATCTGAATTTTATTAATTCTGTATTTTCCATTTACAATTCATTCTAGTATATATATACAATTTCTGTTACAATAAACAAGGAAAGTTTACAGCTAATTCCCTTAATCTTAGGAAATAATCTGACCTTGATTTCCTCCACTAACTTTCCTGAAATATCCTTAAGATTACTCATCCGAGATTTCCTACAAATCTGTCCCTGATTTTCCTCCACTTATTTTCCTGAAATATCCCCTAAGATTACTCATCTGAGATTTTCTACACTCCCCCTCAAGCTGGTGAATATAGATCATTCATTCCCAGCTTGCTAACATTCTCATGAAACATGTTGTTACACAGCCCCTTTGTCATCACATCTGCAAGTTGAAGTCCTGTCGGGACAAATGGAGTACAAATTAGTCCACTGTCTAGCTTTTCTTTAATAAAGTGTCTGTCTATCTTTCGTCCGGTCATGTTGCACTGGGTTGTGGGCTATACTTATAGCTGATTTGTTATCACAATATAGCTTCATAGGTTTGCTCCATTGAATTTTCAGGTCCTCTAGGATAATTTTGACCCACAATAATTCACATATTCCTGCTGCCATAGCTCTGAACTCTGCTTCAGCACTTGACCTTGCCACTACACTCTGTTTCTTGCTTCTCCAAGATATCAAGTTTCCTCCAAGAAAGGTACAATA